TGCCTCCTATAAAATTTAGTATTGCTCTAATAATCGTCATTTAATGAGCGACGAATACTTTCCACTATCGATAATAATTGGTGTTCGATTTAGCTTCACAAGGTGCCGAATTCACGTCGCACCATTACAGATTCTGAGCCGGTGGCCTTCGGGATGTGGCCGTGGATGAGTGTAACAACTTAAAAGAGAATAGGAAATGCGCCGCTTTGTTATAATCAAGTTATAATCGCCGTCGATCACGTTGTATGTCCCGTGTAAAGTTAAACTGTGTGAAGGTAATTGAAGTGTATGTATATCTGTTAGAAGTATGGAGTAATGAAGTGATGAAGAGGAGCTGGCCTGTGCGAGCATACACTTAATAATGGCGGCATTTCTATAGACCCAGATGCAGGCTACGTTCTTATAGGTAGTTGCGACGAGAAGCGTATGTGTGAATTGACCGTAGGAAGTAGCTTAGACAACTTGTGTTAAAAATTTTTATCGGGCCGTACAGGAAAGTATCACGTGCCGTATTGGGTCCTTTGTTAGACTTAACGGGCTGATGCTATCTTTATGTTGGCTATATATGCCATCATTCGAGCCATTTTGCTTGCCTCGAGCTTTGGATAAGGGTAGCAGATATTGCAGCCAGTTGAAATGTCCCAAACGTCTCCCTGAGTTATCTCCGTAATCCCTCGTCGAGTAAAACGAGTTCTTCTAGAGTTCGTCAAATGTTACAGCCTTAACTTAATTACTGCAAGTGCGTATTGTGTGATGCTTTAAGTCAAGTCGGTCAAGAAGGCGCTCCGAACCGCTTTCTTGTATGCAAGTCAACGAACTGAGCTCTGCTGGCACAATTACATGTAATTTTGGACAAATCAGGAACGGAACTGTAATTTTCTACCAATCATGATCAATGAGCCATAAATATTGTTTGATTACAAGGGCATTGATGGCGCTGATCGGATACTGGTCTGAGATAACCCTAGTCATCTTATACTTGATCCGTTGGTGCTCTAAGATGATCCTATATTTGTATGTGAGCATCCGCGCCTACAGTGTGTGCGTGCGTGTGTGAGCGTGTGCGCGTATTCGTGTATGCGTGTAGGCTATGTGGGCGTAGGCGCGTGCGTATGTGTGTTACGTTTGCATATATAAGATATCCATAGCCTACAGATCAATGCATACCCAGTCCACGTACGTATCGTAATGCGTACATAATCTATAGATATTCGTGTGAATGAGGGTGTTTCGCCCCAACGCGAGATGCAGACTCTTAATTAATGTTTGATGCAGCGAATGACGCTGTTACCTTAATGTTGTAACCATGCTTAAACGTCTGCGTGTATTTGTAGAGCATATATTAAACATTTGAATATGCAAGCGTAACATAATATACGTACGACAACTAATGACAACAAGCCATGAGCGATAAATTCTATAATTGATTCATTACAAGTATATTACGATATAACCCGTCGAGTAGAGGTAATCGCGATACTCTAGCATACTAAAATATATGGCAGTGATGCAGTGATGCGTAATATTGTAGGCTCATGAACACGTCACATGGTGCGGCATAACAGATGAAGTACATTACAAGAATTGGCAGATGCTTTCTCAGCAACTAATAACCAGCATGATCTCTAGCATTATTCGCATGTAAGAGCATGTTCCCCATTAATATATTAGATTATTCAACGCGGTCGATTTTTCACCTTAGTAATTAGGACGAGACCTATACACAACAGGTTAATTGCATTATGTTGATTATTTAACCTGTTATTCTGTTAATTTCATCAAGCCCTGAATATATTTAACGCCAATTTCCGCTGGGTCCGACAATATTTGAATGCGTAATTAGAAATTATTTTAAGACGCAACAAGTTCCTCATCTTGCATACGAATATTTTTTCGGACTAACTTTTTTACGATTTGTTTAAACGGATTTCTATATATAGAAAGATCAGGACAATGCATGGTCAATGACGTTTACGAAATACGCAAGTAATATCAAGGAATTGTAAACTCTAGACAGCGAACAACATGAACAGTGTCGCGCAGCGTCCACTGCCATGCACTGACCTATATAATTTCAGCCTGTTCTGCTAACATCTATGAAAAATACGACATACGCATATACGCTCTCCTATGACACTATTTGTCATAAGAAAATTCTTTCTATGACAAATATTGTTGTATGTGTTGTGCGCATCATAAGAGTTTAGGAGCGCTATTATGAACGCAAGCAGTAAATTTCAGCTGTAAAGCGGAACAAAGTTAACTCGCCAATATTTGTCATAGGAAGAATCTTCCTATGACAAATAGTGTCATAGGAGAGCGTATATGCGTATATCGTATTTGTCATAGATGCAAGCAGAACATGTTAATAATTTTCATGGTGTTCCTGTTCGCTAACCCGCATCACGTGGAAATGTCTTCGCCAGAAAGCGACAATAGTGTTGATCGAAATTATTCATGTGATATACCATTATATTAACACATTTATATATATATACGG